AATTACGAGCCTCTTGGGGTGATTTACCCATTAAAGCTCCACCTGCAGCTGCATCGATCATAGTTTTAGTAGAAAAAACTAAACCATTATAGAAGGTTTGTATGATTAACCATTCCGGCAGTCCATGATGTGGACATTTCCGAAGCAAATCTCTAAATCTTTCCCATGCCTCATATAATGATTCACCTTCCAATTGGCTAAAACTAGTGATATCCATTCTAAACTTAGCAGTCTTACCTGGTGGAAAATACTTATTTAAGAATGCTCTTGATAGTTCATCCCATCCAGTGAAAGTATTAGGAGCATGAGAGTGTAGCCAAAGTTTGGCCTTATCTCTCAATGAAAATGGGAACAATCTTAGCCTTATAGCATCATCACTAACTCCATTCATTTTAATTGTATCACAAATTTCCAAGAATGTAGCTAAGTGTGTATTAGGATCTTCTACTGCATTACCTCCAAATTGAGATTGTTGAACCATTTGGATAAGTGATGGTTTAATCTCAAAATTGTTAGCATTTACCGTAGGCCTTACTATGCTTGTTTGAGATCCTTGTGTTCCCGGTAGAGAATAATCTCGTAGAACTCGCCTATTTGGGTCATTTTCGGCCATCTCTTCCGCAAATGGTAGTTCTATCAAAATTTCCTCTATCGGTTGCCAAATCTCTTGTTCCTCTTGCTGTTGTGTGTGCCTCCTTTGTCTACGTAGTGTCCTCTCAATTTCTGGATCGACAGGTACGACTTCTCGAGACTCCCGGTGCATACACTACAAACAGAAATAAGGGATATTATGCAACTTCAATTGTCAAAAACTGATTACAAAATAAGATTAAATATAAAAAAAATAATACTGTCTAAATTAATAAAGATGATTAGGCTCTAATATTGCCGCTCCCCGGCAACGGCGCCAAAAACTTGACGGGATTTTTTTTATCAATGCAAGTTTAATTCCGAATTTACACCCGTTGGACTGCAAGTATACAGGTCGCAATTGTAGTACGAGATGTGTATCGGGTCGATCCCACGAGGAGCAATTTAAAACAATTATTAGATACTAATTTACTCTATTATTTAGACTCACAATTAATTTGAGCAGAAACTTCAGATTTTAATTCAACTACAAAAATTCTTAAATAGATAAATGCAATTTCACAATAGGAGTAGAATTCACTAAATATTAAGATCTAGGGATGTAGATTCCACTTATGACACAAAAGATCTAAAATGAATTAATTCAACACTTGTTACTGCTCTTGTTTAACCAAGGATTCATTTCCAGAAATACCAAAATCACATTCTCATGATAATAATGGGTTAAAACAGATTAGTTTTTCCTAATCTCTTGGTAAATACTAAATCTGTTCTTATTCACACATGAAATGCAGATTTCATCCACTTGAATGTATTTCTATTCTCATGAATATACTACTCAAGCTCTACTTATGTCATTCCATTATTTTTACCATTTCTCAATGAGTAAAAACAACTATAAACCTGCTATTGGTGATCAAGCAACAAGTAATCCAACATACACAAGTAGATAAGTTAATACAAGACATAACAAGCATAAATCACAATCACTTCATATCATTTGGCCATAAGCTTCATCTACTCCCTAGATAAAGGAAATTAGCTACTCATGAATGATGAAACACTCATAACTTCATTAATGCAAATCATCATAAATTTACAAATACAAAAAGAGTAAAGAAAGTCTTAGCCAAGATATGGTGAAGCCTTCCAAAAATCTCCTTGTCTTGAACTTAGATGATTACAAGATGAAACCTCAATTGTCCCTTGCAAGTACCTAGCTAGAGAGAATATGTTTTTCTGTAAGAAGCTAAGCTACGAATTGTTCCAGATCTCTCCCCATATCTCTGCATAAAAATACACTCCAATGCTCCATTTTTCCAAGTCAAATTCTATCCTTTGATTCCCAAATCTCCACTTTGTTAGCATAGTCAAAAACCAATATTTTTGACTTGAAAATAAGCCACTTTTCTTGCCCTTTTGTCTTCTGAAGCATGTGCACCGAATTCCCTTGCATCTTATAGCTGGAAAGTGGTATGAACACAAGAGAATTGGCTGAGTCAAATTGCAGAATTTCGGCTATAAAACGCGCCTACACAAAACGCGGTTACAAGTCACGTTTTGTGTACTCGCGTATTCACTTTGGCCTTACTTCATCTGCGATTTTCTCTATCATAAAGGCCGAACTAGCTTTTGTGCAAAACACAAAAGTTGTAGCCCTTTGAGTTAGCTTTCCAATGCTTCAAGAATCATCCAAATCGGAGCTTTGTAGCCTGAGATATGATCGAAATACTGTCACCTGTTCAAACCTCTGTTTTAACTTCCGACCACAGGGTGCAGCTTCTGTATTCCAACGTTTTTCCCATGAAGATGGCAGAAATGGATTTCGATGTCTTCATACGAATTGTAGGTCTCTTTCTTAGCTTTAAAATGGTATAAAAATCACCTCAATCCGATAAGTGTAGCTCCAGATATGGTCAAAATACTGAAAAGTGTCAAAACTGACTTGTATTGCATTTCCTCACTTGAACGTTTTTCACTTCATTCTTCTTGTTGCCACTTAAATTCATCACCAAATCTCTATTTTTCACCTTAATTGACCTCCTTTGGTGATTGATTCATTATTCCTGCATAAAAATGAAGTTTTTACTATTAAAATCAATAGAAATGCAATATTATCCACTTTTACCAAAAATATATAATTTTACCAAAAACCTCTTTATTTTAATTATAAAACTAAATAATCAACTCAAAATTAACTAATAAAATGCACTAAAAAATACGTAAAATAAACTCTTATCACAATCCAAACAAGACAGGATCTTCAGAACATTTTTTTTTTTGGATCTGCAATCCTTAAAAATCATCAATGAACCGGTTCTTTGTCTAATTTCTAAATTATTTTTTTAGAGTGATTTCATTTTCAATTTCTAGTTGCTTACTAATTTACAGATTCATGAGAGTTATCGTACTTAAATTCTATGGATAATTTCAGAAACCTCCCCTGAGGTTTTTAATAATTTTGCTTGGCTCCCTTAAGGTTTCAAAAATTACACTTACCTTCCTTACCCATTTAAAATGACAATATTAACCTTAACATTTTAATAAAACTCTCTTGTTGTCATGTTCATACAAAGGATGGATTTTATAATTTTTTTCCCTTTTTCCTTCTTATTAATTTTTTTTTTATATTTCATTAAAAATATAGAAGAACTATCAATGTTTGTCGCTAATATCTATATAGATCAAATGTTAAACTAGTAATTTTTTGATGAATTTGAATATTATCGAAATTTTTTATAGCTCTTTTTTGTAATAAAATCAAGTATAAATCAACAATAATTTAAAACAAATGGTCCAAATCACTACCACGTTATGGCAGTTCCATCACTAAACTAGTCCATAAACTTTATTAAAAAAGATAATACATAAATTAAAAAAAAAAAGCAAGATAACACTTTCTTTTCTATCTTAAAAAGAATCTATATTTCCAATAAAGCATCATAAAAATAGCCTATTATAGCAAAAAATTTATTGTTATAGTAGATTAATAAATAACATATATTGGAATGAAAAACTTGAGTCTCCTTTTTTTAATAACTGTATCAAATTACTTCACAATTGTTGAGAGGAATGAATTAAACTTTATATGATAAGGGTATTTTAGGGTATTCATTAAATTTTTTACCTTATTTTAATGTTTGGTTACCAAAGTGTCAAATCAAGAGGATAAGTGTAATTTTTAAAATTTAAGGAAATTAAGTTAAATAGTTAGAAACCTCAGGGGAGGTTTCTAAAATTATCCCTAAATTCTATTAAGATCACTATTACCTTTCATAATAGTAAAATTTGTCGGAAACATCATATGTTCTAATCATAATAAAGTTTTTTTTTTTCTAATGGCTAATCATAATACCGTATGTTCTAATCATAATATAGTTTCTTTGTTCTTTGATCATGATGTCTATAGTTAAATTTTGTGAAAAGCCATAGTGTGTTTAAATAGGAAATTATTTGAATTTTTTTTAAAATAACATTCTAACACTTTTTGTAGTGTGATCTATGTAAATCGAAAGGTGATTGAGAAAATAAAATGTTATTGACAAACGTGTTTATGATATGAGAAATCTGTTCCTTTTTTTTTAAATAATCATCCAACAAACCAATTATTATCCAAACAAAGGCAATTTATTTCCCTTATTAATGTTACATCTGTTTTTTAAGTTACTCCCAACCCGTCCTTTCCCATTCACTACACCATACAACATTTGACAGCCCCTTTATGCATTAAAAGAAATAGAACAATAAGGCAATTGCTGAACTACCAATCATCATACACCTCTACGTTCTCTACATTGTGGGAATTGGAGAACTAGCATCACAAAAAATATGTGAAAAACGGTGACAGTGGTTTTGTTAAATAGCTATTAAATAGTATATGCCTAAACAAACTCATGAAATTTCCACTAATTATGAGAAATTGTACTTCAACTGAAAAATAACCATAAAATTGCTGAACCAACATAGGAATGAAAATCTTTTATAGTTGGAGTGGTCTAAATTGACAAATTGTGGCAAGTAGACTTTAAATGATATCACTAGAACGAAAACAAAAGAAATTAACGAAACAAAATGGGGGCGCTAAGTAGACACGATTAGACGATGAAATTCATTGAAATAAGCCAATTTTCCATATATTCTGATCTAATTATAATGTTTCCATGTGCTTTTCTCTATTTTCATGAATTTAGGAGTCTAACGATTTTGTTAACCTTTCGTGTTTTGCAAACTTTGGTTGTTACTAATGTGCAGATTTAAATTCCAATTTAATGATTTGTATTTCCTAAATTTTGAAAGTTTCCCAAAGCTTGATTTTTAATAAAGAGATCTTTTGAATTCCTGAGGTTCTCCATTTCGTTTGAATTTCCACTTTCAGAACCTTAATTTATTGTCGACTATGCCATAATTACTCACCCATAATTCTCTCTCAATCTTTGCAAATAACCAAAAGTTGCTCCCAAGATATTATATGCAGAATTCTCGTAAACGTCTTCTCCATCAACAAATTCAGCAGTATCAGGAACTCCATCATGAGCAGAAGAAGGTTTAGAAAGCTTTCTGTTGCAAGTATCAAAAACTCCATGAAAATAGATTTAAAGGACAGAACAATTGGGTATTTGTTAGTGTCTTGTACTTATGGTCGTAATTTTCGTGCATGATTCAACAATTACGCTTTGTTGAGCGTCTATAAGTGCTGTAAAACAAGAATAAACCCCTTCCCATATTTGTGATTGAAAATACTGATATAAAGGAGATCAGTTTGGGGTAGTTTGATATTTTGCTTTTTACACTTTTACTATGTATGTATGTATGTATGGCTAACAGATCTTCTGTCCCACGTCCTATGCCATTTTCTGTCACACTTTTTATTATATTGTTATTTCCCTACATAAATATCATGTTTTAGTTCTTTTTTATTTCTTTAAGATCCAATAACTATTAATTGAGTAATACAAAAAATTTAACAAACTCAAAAAATCAAAATTCATAAAAAATGAGATTTTTTATGAATTTTCTAAATTTACTTTTCCAACAAAGTTAACTACTTTTTCTTAAACTGTGTGAAAAAAAAAACAGAACTATCAAAGTGGGACGGAGGGAGTATATTGCTTTTTTGAAGCTGTTGTATTTATTTTTTATTCAAATAATAGTTATTGGATCTTAAAAAAATAAAAAAGAACTAAAATATGATGTTTATATAGGAGAAATAGTAATATAATAAAAAGTGGGACAGAGAATGATATAGGGTGTGAGACAAAAGATCCGTTGCGGTATATATGTATGTATGAATGTATGTATATGTGTCTGTACACACATATATATGTATGAATGTGTGTATATGTGTCTGTACACACATTTATATATTGTAATGCGAGGAAGAAAAAACTTATGGGTTTTGTAGCTAACACATAAAGAATTGATGAAAAGAAATTAATGTTGCTTATTTCTTCCTTAGAATTCATAATTATTGTTTTCTTACATCGTTAATGTTTCTTGGCGCAGCATGAAATTCTCGTATCACCAAAACACTTTTTGTTCATTTTTTTTAAGGTAAGAAGTTTATTGATATTCGAAGGAGAAACAAAACTATAAGCGGTAGAAATACAATCACAATGAACCAGTCAGCAAAAGACTATTAAAAACACTTTTTGTTGATCTTTCAGTATACCTTCTTTTTCTTTGGAAAATTAAAAAAGCTGTCAATCTGAAATGTTAACAATGATAGTAAATCCTCCATTTAAACTATAATATATTGAAAATCCTCCCAATGCTTTCGTCAAATTAATCTGATTTCTTCAAGGTTGTTGACTCTGGGCTTTCGTGAATGATGAAACTGAAATCACCTTTAAACCTTTTCCCTTTTCTCAAATCCTCCCAATATTTTTCTCAGTTAATCTTTTAAACCCATATATGTTGGAGGTTTTTAAAAATCTAGCAGTCCTATTCCCCAAAAGGGCGGAAAACAGCAGGTTACAATGATCGAGTATCGATCCTGCATATAGGAGAGAAAACACAGCTACCCGGATTAATGCTGCATTATTCAAGCAATTCAAGGTACATAATGTTTCTATTGATTTGAGAAGTAGTGAATCGGATGGTTACCATGATGAAATCTTTTGGCATTCAAGCAATTCAAGGTACACACAAACGATTTTGGTCACTAGAAACTTGTTAAAGAAAAGAAATATGGTGGCATTTCTAGTCTCATTCAAACTCTAGGACATCAGTGTTCCCTTAGTGCATAATCCCTGAGAAGGAACACTCATTACTTGAGAATTCCATTAAGAGGACCATCCCTTTTATGCTTTTCTTTTACAAAACAAAATTAGACAAAACATCTCTGTCCAAGCTACATCACCTCTAAGAATAGTTACTTAAAGACAGATAGGTATATGGTTTAGGCCATGGTTCGAAGTCTCGGCCGAGACCGAGACGACTCGGCCGAGTCGTCACCGTCTCGGCCCCCACCGATACGATACCGTGACGAAACGATACCGAGATACTTGACTCGCCGAGAAATCGGCCGAGACGTCACCGCGACGGATTGACTCGGCCGAGTCACACCGAGTCACTCCGAGTTATCCCGAGCCAAGACGAGAAATCAGTCGAGTTACACCGTGACGGATTGACTCGGCCATTTCTTTTGCTATTTTTTATTATTTTTGTTTAGCATACTATTTTTATATTATTAACCATTTTTAGAATATTAAATACTTTAAAATTTGCGTTTCACCGAGACCGCGACCGATATGCCGAGACCGATATGGAACGTTCCGGGCCGCGACCGTGACCGCGACCACGACTTTGAACCATGGTTTAGGCAAATGTTTGGTAACAGTAATATTCAGAATGATACAATGAACCAATTGCAGTTTTACAAAGCGTTTCCTATGATTGACAATAATCATGATATGCTGCTGTTTGGTTTGAGCAAGCAACTGGCTTCTCAAGCAGTTTGACTAAATTTAATGGGAAATTGTCAACAGAGAAATTAAGGAACAACCAAGCCAAATGCAAAATTTACAAATTCATGAATGGCGGTGAGTATGCCAAAATTGGATACTTGGAATGATCTATCAGATTCATGTCAGGTGAATATCACTACTGGCTAATAAGGCATGATCAGCTCACCCAAGTTTTTGAAACAAGGTAAGACTTCAAACTTTCTAGTAACAGGGGAACACTGGACTTACATAAAGTACAGCGTTGATAGCTACAAATTCTGGAAATTTTCTATATCTTTCTTGTCAGAAAAGTCATCTTTCAAAACGAATGAGCAATGATATCAGAAAAGTTATAGGACGAAAGCAGTAACTAATATTGGAGAAACTAGTAACATTACATGCAAAAGAACTACAAACCGAAATTGACGGAATTGGCACCAAGTTGTTTCCAAATATAAAATCTACAGTTTAGATGACTCAAATTTCAAGAGACCATGCTGGAATTCCAAAAGATATAACCCATCAGCCTCTAATTACTCTTGTCCTTCATACCTTCCAACACCAAGGTACAATGCTCCTTCATCAATTCTGACCTCTTCAACAAAAGCTCTACTTCTGCCTCGCGCAGTTTCTTCCACTTGTCCTCCAGCTCCATTGCTTTCGCATGGCCAATCAAACTCATGTTCTCTTTCAAGAAACTCCTTTGACCTGCAATTTTGTCTGCATTCATCATAATGCTCCATGAATCAACATCAAAAGATTTTGTTAGATAAGGATACTTCGACTGAAAATCATCTTCAGCATCATCTCTAAAAAATGTTTTCACCACATTCGTCTTCTTCTTCTTTTCTTCTTTCTTATCTTGTTTCACAAAACTAACAACTTTACCCATGCTTTTCACAGTTTCATTAGCTCTGTCAATAGCCGTGCCATCACCAGTTTCAGCACCCCAAATCGATTTTGAGAGTTTAAATATTTCAAGCTCATTGGCGTTGAAATGAACAAAGCAATCCCCACCTTTCTCAAATTTCTCCACAGAATTGAAACCTTTACTTTTTAACCTCCTAATTTTCTCATAAATCTGACTTCTAGAAAACTCACGTCCAAACTTCCCTTTAACATACTTACAGAAAGCATTCATATTAGTGGAAGGATTTAGACCTTTCTCAGTCTTAAACTTGATGATGGATCGGAGAAGACACTTCACGTCGTCATCGCTCCACTTCGTACCAGCACCTTCACCAATAGCGGCTGAAATGGCAGATGGCTCCTGTTTGTTCGGTTCGTCAGCTTTACCTTTGGCCTTCTTCTCACTTCTCAAATGCTTTTGATCATCTCCCTGGTCTTCCAAAGGGCGTTTTGAGGTGGAACTTGAGCCTTTTGATGTGAATTTGGTTGGAGGAATCAACTTTATCATAAAATCCGATGTAGGAGAATGTGTGGAAATTTCTAACTCTTCATCATCTCCTCCTTCCTTATCCTCCTCTTCACCAGAATCTGAGGAAGATTGATATGGAGTGATGATTTCCTTTTGAGCACTGAACATTTGGTCAAGTTGAGTTGGTGATTCATGTATATTTTCTTCAACTTCAAATTCTTCTCCTTCTGATCTTTCTTCTTCCTCTGATTCTTCCTTATGTTCTGATTTTGATTCTTCTTCTGACCCTTCTTCACCTTCTCGAGATTCTTCATCTTGTCCTTTTTCTGATTCTTCTTCTTCTGATTGTGTTGATGGAGGAGGATAATGGGTTGTTGGCTTCTTGGATTCCATGGTCTGAAAAGAGAGAGAGGGAAGAAGAAGAAGGGTTTGTTGTTGGTTATGTTTGAGGGAGAAGACAAGAGAGTGCAATCTATAAGGCTCAATTCTTTTATAATAACGTTGGCAATTTCAAATACTTTACGAATATTTTGTTTTGGTTGACCTTAATTAAACTACATGTTCTGCAAATGGCGAGACACCATTTTTATGTGCTTTTACAAACAACAAAGCGCCATTATTTTCATTTTTTGGAATAATTTGTTAGTCTTTAGATAAAATACAAAACTCTAACCCCATTCTTGATGCTTTAGATGAAACTTAATTGAAAACATAAATTTGAGTAGAGTTCGGCTCCACATTAACTCAAGCTCAATAAGAAGCTAAGTTTAGTTGAAGTCAAAAGTAAATTATAACTAATGTAATCTTTTTAAAGTAACACAAAAAATACATAAATAAATAAGGATGCAAATTATTAAACTTGAATCTACAGGTCAAATACTCCCTTCGTCCCATAAAGATAAGCCTATTTCTTTTTTCACATAGATTAAAAAATTTAATTAATATAATTACAACAATTGTTTTTTATTGGTACTTTTCTCAAATACTCTTAGTAGTTAATGTAGATCTAGTTATAAGTGTTGTATTTAATATTTCAAATAGAATAATTAACTAATGGAGTAGTGCATTTGCTATGTGCCTTAAATATGGACATATTAGTAAAATAACAAACTAACTACTCTTTAAAAAAGAAAATAAACCTATAATTTGATATAGATACAAAAAGAAAGTGATTCTTATCTTATGGAACGGAGGAAGTACGTTTTTGGTGGAGCTTGATTTGAGGGCTACTTAAATACTCAACTTGAGTTAAGCTAAGCCGCACATGACTTTCTAGCCGCACAATTAATTTGCATTGGAGAGCCTATGGGTGCAATTCAATCAGGCAACTTAACTCGAACTCACGAGTAGCTCGATTAACTACTTGACTCAAGCTTGGTCAATGCCGAGTTTGAGTTAAGTTTGTGCTATTTGATTGAAATTTCGAGTCAAGTTCAAGTATATATATTATATACTCAAGAACTCGTCGAACACTATTGAGTACTCAGTGTAATATTTAATTAATACATTAAAAATAATTAAATAACCTTTTTAGGTTGAATCTTAGCAATATTTATGATCCTAACCCTTTATCGAGTTCGAGTACTTGAGCTCAATATCGAACTCGCCAACTTCTTGAGCTCTATCGAATCAAGTTCAAGCCTTCCCAATATTATGCCGACTCGAGCTCGAGCTTTGCTCAAGCAACTCGCTCAAACTTGAGCTCGAGTTCGAGTGCTACTATTAGTCATTGAGTTCGAGCTCGAGTGTGGCGAGCTCGATTCGACTCGATATCAATCCTACGCGAGCCCTTCTTTTTCTTTTTTTAATACTAAAACAAGTTGGATATTGCATATAATTAGGCATGTTAATGAGTAGAGTTTGAGTTGAATCCATTTCATTTAGACTCAAGCTTAATGAATTTACCGATACTCAGATCTAACGCAGATCTTAATGAATTTGGAAAAGAAAATTTAGATTCAGATCCTTATAGATTTGGTCAACTAAATTGGTATCCATGGATATTTTTTAAAATATGTAACTAAAAGTTAAATTCATAAATCAAAACATATGAAATTCAAAGAGAGGGGAATTACAATCCAATTAGTATTTACAAAAAATAGAATCAACCTTCAAGAGTGTTGCATTCAAAAAATCATGAACGGAAAAAGTATGAAGTCTTATCAAATAATTCTATGTACTCGAAAATATTAATGTTTATTCAATATTGAAACTTGCATATATTTATACGTCCAATTTTTCTCACATAAACTTTTGGGTCCGAGTACATCTCGATTTGGATATGGACATGAATTGTATGAAACCAAATTTTATCTAGAACCACAAGTATTTCACGAGATGTAGATCTAGGTAGGGTCTACTAGGGGTGGCAATTTTCGACATGACCTTAAAACACGACACGAACCTAACACGAAATTAATGGATTTGGGTTGAGATTTCGCGAGTTCGGGTCAGAATCGGGTCGAACCCAATGGACCCGAAAAGAAAACGGGTCGAATTCGGGTCAACCCGTGGGTGACCTAATATGACCCGATAACCCGTTTACGAATTAAAAATAATTTAATAAACATAAAAATTATTTTTTCTAACTAAACTAAGTTATTCTTTTTTCCAAAGGCATTAATCACTTAATCCTAAATGAATTTATTTAACTTGTGTGAAGTTGAAATTATTATATTTGGACAAATAATATATCATATTATTTTTTACTTTTATACTGTTTTAATTTATTTTATATTTGGTTTGGGATAAAACACTTTTACGGTGTTTTAATTTATTTTAGATTTGGTTTGGAATTATTTATTTAAATTTTTATTACTTGATTATGTAACTAGTCTTGTACGAAATTGGTTTTATTAGAAATTACAGTAGTAAATTAATAAATTAAAATTAAGTTTCGGGTCATTTCGGGTCGACCCGCCAACCCAAAATTTTCGGGTTCGTGTCAGGTATTCTAACCTGTTTCGGGTTGGCGGGTCAGGTTCGGGTCAGCAGATTTTGGGTTAATCACATTTTATCCCCTTAAAGAATACCCCATTTCTCAGTTTACCCCATAACCTTTAATTTTGCTCACTTAACCCCCTTTAGGACAAAATTGCCCTTGCATTATTTTGACTTTTCATTTGCCTTGTTTTCCTTTCTTTTATTTCTTTTTCTCTTTCTTCTTTATTTAATTCTTCATCTTTCCCACAAAAATCTTCACCTTAATGATTGAAATTAAAAAATAGGAATTGCAGAGATCTATCTTCTCCTCAAATGATTAAAAAAATATTCAAATCACTTTCCTAAAATACAATTTTTTTAGCATTTCAATTCTTTTAATTTTGGGTTTTCCTCTTTCCTTTTTAGTTTTTCATTTTATTCCCAAGAAAATACCTTAAGATGAAATTATGACCTGATTAATAATCATCAATTAAAATTTGTGACACGTGGCATCATACAAAAAATCAAAATTAGTTTTTGATGCCTTTTAAACCTTCACCCAGAAATATGCAATTACAAACTCAAAACAAAAATTTTCGTTGAAATAGAATTTCTATTGGGAAGGATGAAAGAGAGAAGAAAGAGAAAAAGAAATAAAAGAAAGGAAAATAATTTCATCTTATGATATTTTCTTGAGAATAAAATGAGAAACTAGAAAGGAAAGAGGAAAACCCAAAATTAAAAGAATTGAAAGGCTAAAAAAATTGTATTTTAGGAATGTGATTTGAATATTTTTTTAATCATTTAAGGAGAAGATACATCTCTGCAATTCATCTTTTTTAATTTCAATCATTAAGATGAAGATTTTTGTGGGAAAGAGGGAGAATTAAATAAAAAAGAAAGAGAAAAAGAAATAAAAGAAAGGAAAACAAGGTAAATGAAAAGTCAAAATAATGCAAGGGCAATTTTGTCCTAAAGGGGGTTAAGTGATCAAAATTAAAGGTTAGGGGGTAAACCGAGAAATGAGATATTCTTTAAGGGGATAAAATGTGATTAACCCGCAGATTTTTTGTTATACCCGGGTCTCAACCCGACCCGCCAACCCGAAATGGACCCGCACTACAACAAAAATAGCTTTTCCTGACACGCCTAAAAGGACACTTGCTGGTTTTTGTCATTATAGCACTTCTATCATGACACTTATTATCAATTCAATAATATATACTTTAATTTTGTTTTATTTTATCTGATATAAAAATAATAATGTGTCTTTAGATTCCCTATCATGACACTTGAAAAAATGTGAGATACACCAAAAAAATTAAAACATAAAATGATGTTGTTTGATTTTGGCGGAAGATTCCTTCGCCAAAACACTTAGTGAAATTTCAAAACTTTTATTTTGCAAGCCAGCGAAATTTTGGTTCTTCTCATATTTCTCACAAACTCTCTCTCTCGGCAAACTCTCTCTCAAAACTCCCCCATTTTGGTTCTTCCGTCTTCCGCCTTCGCCGCTGCCCTACTCCCCTATTTTCAGTTGCTAACTCGGCCGCTTCTCTACCCTGTTCGGTCAACCACGACACCTGCACCATTAAGCCTTCGCTCTCTTTGCTAGGACAAAAAGAATAAGAAAATAGATACTCGTGCTCTTTCCTTTTTCTTCTTTCCTCTGAAACCCATCCCCATGCTTCTCCTTACTGACTAGATATTCAGGTTGAGTGTGCCGAGGAGTAGAGTAGGCGAAGGTTGCCGCTATCATCTCATTGGAGTCCAGCCACTACAGCGGAAATCATCACTGTAAAGTTTCCCACACTCTTGTACCTTTTTTCCCCCTTAATTGTATTGTTTTCTTCTTTGTCTGCAATCATGTCGGTTATGCTTTACTTTTGACGGGTATTTTACATACGTGCAAGCTAAAAAATACCGAATTACACCCGTTCACTGCAAGTATACAGATCAACTAGTAGTTTAGGGTATATATCGGGTCGATCCCACAGGGAAGAGTGAACAATTACCGGTATTACTAAAATTTCTTTATTATTTAGACTATCAATTAATGATAAGAAATTTAACCTACTGCACTTATACAAGAAATTAACAAATAAAAGCTCCTTAGGTTGTGGTATCCCTAACTACTCATGCAAGTGTTATATTTGGATCATTGAATACTACATCTAGGCTAATTATGGTGTAATTTCCTTATGCATTTGAATCCTACTTTCGTAGTGAATCAATTTGACAGGTTGTCAGCCTGTGCAATAATAAAAACCTGCTCAGCTAAAGTTAAATTTCTGTAGATAGTGGTAAGCAGGGTCGAATCCACAGGGACTGGGAGTAATTGTTTCTTTTCAAATTCACAGTGACAAGGGGGTGTTTTTATATCAGAGGTGACAATTTAAGCAATCTAACTAAAAGTAAAATAATAAAAATAAAATAGCCAACTAGAAATTAAATAACAATTTACTAAAATC